CCCGCGCAACCAAAGGCGGGGGGTGCGGGATAGTAGAGGGGTTCTCCTGAGGCAGCCCCGGCACCCACAGTCAAAGGAGAAAGCAGGGAGCCGATACCGCGCTTGCGGCACTCTTCCACAGGTAGCTTAAGGCACTTGGAACAAAAATTACTCCAACGCAAACCGGCACGCGGCAATGGAAGATGAGGGATGCTGGTAAATGCCAGGCCTCGGCAGCAGTGCTCTGCTGCTTGTTCTTCTTGTAGCCTTCCAAACCTCCACCTTCCCTTCCCTCGCTTCCCCATGCAAGAATTGTTCCGTTCTACACTCCCCTGCTGGCTTCATTTGCCCCATACGGCAGTTGCCTTTGCCTGAGACACCGTGTATTTTGCTAACTGTATGTCCAGGCCTTCCAATCCATAGGACCAAAGTGAACAGCCCTACCACTAATTTTTTCCAGTATTCTTTCAGTATTGATCCCACACGGCACAGCTTCAATTTGACTGAAGCATCAAGCTGTCGTAATTGTTCTGCACGTAGCTTACCAGTACAACTGGCAACAGAACCCAGCACTTTGGCAAATTTCAGTTCTCTTGGCAGCATGCACTCTCCAACGATGCCTTCATAAAAGAGGACAGCGCACAAGCAACGGCGCATCTTCTGATCAGAGGCAGAATTTGGAAACAAGTCTTGAAAAGAGTTATTAAGCAGAACTATGGAAGGCTAGAGGCGTTAGGAAGTGACACATCCAACTGGAGTTGATGTTTAGCCAAGCACGTAAAAAACCCCAAGACTATAAAGGTTGACATTTACTACCTGCAAGAGCCTGAGATGTTGAGAAGCAGCAGAAGTACGAGTGTCCCTTGCAGGATGACACAGCACACCAGTCTGCTACAACAGCTCGGTGTGACATGAAACCACTTGCAGATGGCATTGGCAAAACATTTCAACATGACCCAAATTCTGTCCCGTAGCTATAGAAAAAATATACAGAAGTAATTTTGTATTTTAACTGGATCTCAGGCCAGTCCAACAGAATTTGTGGGGTTGTTATTTTCTTAAGGGGGCACAGAGGGAAAAGATACATGTTGCATCTCCTTCAAGGCCTGTACAAACAGTAACGCTTCCAGATCAGTTCCGATAAGCTTTGAACAAAGGCTACACTTGCCCTTAAATACTCATAGTCCTGCAAAACAGCAATTCTGTTCTCTAAGTTAAGAAGACTCAAAATTATATTGCACCTACTTAAACTGTTTAATTTTTCCCTCAGACTAATCCCCTGCTCAGGGATGCAGATCACAGCATCCGAATGGTCCCCGAATGGGTTAGGTCCTCCTCTTGTTTCCAAGATCTTCTGTATTCCTGAAGGAAAGTAATAAAGTTTAAAATACGGTTTTGGCTGGGATAGAGTTAATTGTCTTCCTAGTGGCTGGTACAGTGCTGTGTTTTGGATTTAGCATGAGAATAACGTGATAACACACCGATGGTTTAGTTGTTGCTGAGCAGTGCTTACACTAGTCAAGGGCTTTTCAGCTTCCCATGCCCTGCCGACTGAGAAGGCCGGAGGTGCACAAGAAGCTGGGAGGGGGCACAGCCAGGACAGCTGACCCAAACTGGCCACAGGGACATTACATACCATGTGATGTCATACACAGTACAGAAACTGGGGGGAGTTGGCTGGGGGGCCGCTGCTCGGGGACTGGCTATCAGTCAGCGGGCAGTAAGCAATTGTTTTTCATTTGCATCACTTCTCTTTCTTGGGTTTTATTTCTCTGTTATTTTCCTTTTCATTACAATTTTTTATTATTATTATTTTAATTATTAAACTGTTCTTATCTCAACCCACAAGTTTTCTCACTTTTACTCTTCGCGAGCGGCTGTGTGGTGCTTAGTCACCGGCTGGGGTTAAACCACGACAAATACGTATCTAAAAGTAGGAGACAACTAAAGAAAAAAAAAACCCAACAAACAAACCAACCCAAAACAAACAGAATCTTAACCATTTTGTTTAATGTTGTACAAAAAAAATTTGGTGACTATTACAATGAAAAGTGATTAAAACACTGATATCACATTGCCATCCCGCTACCTAAACAGTTGAGATTCACTTCTCTATTCATACAATAGAAAGTTTAGTGGCCTTCAGGAAAAGAATGACATAAAAAAAAATGCTTGCATCACACGTATCCTTTTCTCTACATTTTAAAGCTGTGCTCACAGAGACGGCTTCTTCTGTCAGACTCTTCAGGTGTATGGGAATTCAGTTGTAAATAAAGTTGAACCTAAAATTAAAAGAACGATACCAAGTGAGGGATTTTTGTTCTTTTTATTTAAGTGACATTTTGGAATGAATAAGCCAATGTTTTGTTTCTGCTCTTGATAAGCCTCCATCTGACGGAACAAAAGTGAATTTTTTACTAAGACAGCTTTATAGTATAGCAGGAAGCATCATTTTTAACAGCCAATCCTACACTAGCATTGCACACTAGTCTCTCAAGGTTGCAGAAGAACTAATTATTAACATTTCATCTCTTAAGAGAGCTTCACAGATATGAAAATAGCAGTGAGAGTTGTGTACCCCCACCAGCAACTATTTCACAGCACTTCTGCTATCAGGGCCAACTTCGTACACCCCAAGGGTAACAGATGGACACACTCAACAGAACAGCTAGTTCTTCTCAGCTAAGTTTCACAACAAACAGCGTTCACACAGTGAAAGCAAGCCTCCATCTCCGCTTCCAGACGTCCGTCCTTCGGATGTATCTGTTGCGCTGGTACCAAACTGGCATTTGGCTGCCTAACAGCCAGTGTTTCGCTGGTACTCGGGAGGAAGTATCTGCTGTCTTTAGAGCAGGGGGAGGGGGAAGCCCCCATAGCTACAGCTGCCAAAACTGGGACTAGGTAGAGAAAACAAAACATAGCACGATACAAGCCTGTTCCGGGCAATACCAGTGCTGACATTCTGCTAACAGACTTTTTTCATCCAAGTAGGTGGATGACAGAACTGCTTCCCCGAGTAACAGCTGACAGGCTGTGGGATGCTTGGCGTTCCTCAACATTTGCTGAAGTAACAGAAACCAGTAAGACTAGTGAGCTCTGGAGACCCGAGGTACAAGCCATTTTCAGGTAAGAAAGCCAAAGAGCGTGTACATTGGGAAAAGGAAGGAAAAAATACAGCCGTCCCTACAGATACTTGTGTTATAACTTGAGTTATAAACTCTACTGCACAGAGTCTAAAAAACCCACCACATTTAATCAGCACAAAGCTGTGATAACATGCGCTCCTAATTCAGTGCCTCAAACACGCATCTGGGCTTTTACTCTCACACCGTCCCTAACACTTGCAAGAAGCTGTTCCTTCGCCTGTGCACAGCTTCATCCTCACTATCTCTCACATTTTCCTTTGCTACAACTGCTAGATGGGACTTTGGTGCTAGCAAGTTGCAATCAGCGCCTCCGAATTGTCCGTCACATCTTGTCTGAGGTGGATTCTAAGCTCTTTGGGATAGCTGCAACCTTTCCACAGCCAGTTTCTGTGGTGCCTAGCCTTGCTCTGGTTTCCCACGGCCAACATGTTCCCAAGAACTATAATACAAATAAGTCATATTATACCTGCTCAAAAGTTGAGGAAGGCTGGAAATAATGGGTCCATATCCTGGTGCATTGTCATAGAGCTCAAACAATGGTGCAGCGACCAGCTTGTAATTTTTTGGGACCGCAAACAAAGCTAAAAACAAATACAAGTTGATTAATAAGAAAAACCACCACACATTCAGCCAAGGTATCACCGCCCCACTCACAGACCTCAAAACAAGATCGCTACATATAGCACAATAGTACTAGAGTAGGTTTATTCCTTTTCTAGTTAAATACGGGGTTCGTATGCTGTACATATGCTGATGGAGGAGCAGGAATGAGCATTTACTAGGAACTCGTGTTCAAAGATCACCTACCTTCAAAACTGGTATCAGCATTAAACTTTTTTAGTGATCAACTATAAACTGCTGCAAGCATAGGAACACAAACTTGCTGCCACATTTCCTTGCGTGAAATAAAAGCATTTAGACATTGTTATAAATACAATCCTCTGTTGCAAACAAACTCTTACCCTTTTCTTGAAGCTGGACCAAGAAAAGCTTTTTGTGCTCTTTTGGTTTTGTAATATGAGCTGGGATATAGGGATACTGGAAGAAAAACAAGAATAATCAGTTGTACAGAGCTTTGAAAATATTGTGCCATCTTAAGTGCTACTTTATAAATTATCAAGCACCGTGTGAGCTTTCAACGTGTCGTATATTGTTCTTTCATGGCATCAAATAATGAAAACCACTTTTGTAAGAAAGTACTCAGAAAGGAATGCTGTTGCTGTCACAACTATTGACAGGATCTAAAGAGGCACCACTACTCACGAGCAGTTAAAACAACCCAACAAGATAGAAATGTGTAACAGCAAACTCGGCAAGTATTTTCAGTATTAAAGCATTTAGAAATAGGGCAGCGAGACTATTTTATTCACGGGGCATCCGTTCCATATGCAGCAGTGCAAGAGTTTCCGTTGTGGCTGAAACAGGAATTTAAACAGTGTCTCTGGCTCAGCACAGGACTGGAAGCTATTACATCCACCAGGACGGGTGTGAGGAGAGAGAGAGGGGAGTTTCCAGAAGAAAAAGGCTGTAGTTTCTCCTCAGCCACAGAAAAGAGGTGAAATAGGTAAAAACCAGAAAAACTTATTGCTCATGCGGCAGGTACTCAAAAAGCCCAACTGGTAGGTTGAAGGTTTTCGGAAGAACAATCGATACTTGACTGAAGAAGATGAAAGTCAACATGAGTACTCACCTGTGGAGGTTCAAAGTTTGGTCTCCACCAGTTACCGATGCAGTCATCAATCACCCAGTCTTGCTGAACACCATCCTGACGACCCAGTATCTACCAAAAATCCAGCCACAGTCAAAACTCTAACTACCCCAAGTCAATTTTTTTAGAAAACATACACTGGAAGCATGAAGACTTGCGGTAATAAGGGTCTGATGTAGTTCGGAACTGCTCTGGAACAGCTTTTAATAGAATTTTAGAGTATTTTTGTATAAAGTGACATTGTTTAGTAAAAGCCTCACCTGACAGGACAAGGACACTTTCGAGAGCATTTCAAATTCCATGCTGTATTCAGCTGAACTGAGTCCCGTCAGACCAACGGGAAGAATGAAATGCATTGTTACGCTACCTGACAGAATTAATTTAGGTTACTTGGAGAGCAGGGAAGGTTAATTGGTGCATTGGGAAGACTATCTCAAAACCAAGTCCTCATCAGTTGTGCTCCGCAACGTATTTCATTGCCCATCTGCACACTCACTTGCCTGAAGCCAGCCAAAAAGCAAATGAACACAGGACTTGAGCAGCAGGTAGGGGGTCAGCCACTAGACCTCTCTGTCGCGCTCTCATGATGCGGACAAATGAAAACTGACTGCTTTGTTTGTTAACTACCCGAGAACATCACAAAAGCATCGAAATAACAGAAGCGATAAGGAGACTACTCTAATGCTTTGGCTTATTCTGTTAACTCTAAAATAATCCAACATTCCGGTATAGCAACGTAACGAAAGAAAACAGACCTCCGTCATTAAGCGTTTGAGCCCTTCTACCTCATCTTCTCCTGGATTGAGTTCACCACCAGGTCTGTTAAAATAATCAACGATGAAAGCTAAAGTTATGTTTTATTGTATTTACAGACTTTCACAGGTAAGTTTGGATGTGCTTCCAGGCAGGGAGTTACAAATTCACTCGAGGCCCTTAAGTCAGAAGTTCCAAATCTAACTTTGCCGAATTTGAAGACACTAAGATAGCTTTCACCAAAACCGTGACTAAAATGGCTACTGTATGTCCCTTAAAAAACCCCACCCATTATATAAAATACTTTAACTTCAGCAGGACAAGGTATAACAACGTACGTAACAACTGGGACACTTAAAAGGTGAAGTTTTAACAATAACATAAAAGCACCAGAAGTTGAAGAAAGGGTTGTAAATACTGACCATATTTGTTCTTATCTCAAAAACAGCGCTCACTGAAGCACACAGGAAGCAGAAAATAAAATTCAGGTGGGGAACCATCCTGCATTCGACGCAAGGTTAATGAAAAAAAAAAAAACTAAAAACACATTTTCATCATTACAGATTTTTGCAAAACTTTTAGAGTCTAGCCTATTTTGTCCACACACATCCCCTAAATCAAAACGTCAAAAGAGAATCCGGATAAAAAAAATTAGATTTCTCACACACACACAATTCGGAACAAACACCATAAACATTAAAAACATAAGACCAAGAACACAAGCAGGATAACTTGAGACAAGTCAAGCCCATTCAGTTTAAAAAAAAGAAAACAAGCACTGCCACCATCACTACGATCATATGATCCAAATACTAAAATTTCACTCCGGCAGTGGTAACTATGAGATGTACTGAAGCCATTTTCTCAAATTCAGATGCCCACCTTTCTTGCTGTACCCAGCTCACCCAGCAGTTTGTAAGCAAATACCATTCTGCATTTACTGGGGTTTACTCCTCGAGCTTCGCTTTACTATTTTTGCGGCCATAGCATAACCATATTCAAGCATAACAGCTTTCACAATGCAAGAACACCACACTACCAACTGATAACGAATTTTAAACAGGATTTTACCGTAGTGATGCACCGTAACTAAGATTTCCAGTCGGTTCAGAGCTAAGTCACCCCCCTCCTGAGCAGTCAAATACATCTTGGATGAAAGCCCCACCGTTCAAAAAAAAGTTTTCCCACACTAAGTCTTTGCAACAAATGAAATCGCATTCAAAACATCTACCAGTCAGCCGCACTTTAACCTCTAGCCCGCGTGTTTAGTGGTCTGTGACAATAAAGTTAAACTAAAAGTTACAATCGAGAAACGGACACTTACAGCTTGAAAAAAGTTGTACCCAGCTGCAGTAACAGCACGTGGGGCAGCCTGTGCTCATGTACAATCAGAACCCCTTCCACTGTCCGCCTCATGCCAATCTTGTCAAACTCTTCCCTCATGCGCTGAAACCGAGCTGCCACGGAACTGTCCTTCTCATACAGGGGTTCCTTTGTACCAAACGTGTAATTTGTCAGAGGATACCTGTAAGGGGAAGAAAATATGTTACTATATAAGAAGAAATCTAAATTTAAATCACTGCGACACAGCATCTACCCTGAGGCAGAACCTTCTGTGCTCGACAGAACGGTAATGCATTCGTAGCGCTAGTCTAGAAGTTCTCGTTTGTGACTTAGGGGGCCCCTATCGCACCACGATACATACAAGCGCAGAACGTCGGGCTGATCGACACGCCAGCGCGGTGCCGAGTCAAAAGAAGGAAAGAAGCCCAGAAGAACCAGCAGCAGCTGCTATTCAACAGCCAGCCTCTTTGATCTCCACACCGCAGAGAAAAGGCAGCTGAGGCTCTAAGAGGAGCTGGGAAAGGGACAGGAGGAAAATGTTGCAGGAAGGAGGGAAGCTGCAGACGGCGGGGGTTTTTTCTGCAGAAGTAACAAAGAGCCTGAGAATTAAACTGTTAGAAGTGGTTCTGTTTTGAAGTGGGAAATCAGACATCTGGATCACAGAAGAGGAGAAATGCTGAGTGTCTAAGTGCAGGGCCAGGAGCCTGGCGTAAGATCAAGAGTTTGAGCAGATGACTCTGTTGGGCTAGGTGCTGGACCTCTGCATTCTCTAGTGACATCATAGCGGAAACTTGGGAGATTTCTCCAGGTAAGAGGGACTGAGAAGAGTCAGAGACGAAAGGAAAGCTTAGGCAAGAAATCGGTCAGTCCTAGAGAGCACAGAGGGCAACAGGAAAATGCTATCGTGCAGCAAAATCCAAGTAACACAGAGATCTGATAGCACGAGGCCTGGAGGGAAGGCTAAGTCAAAAAGGGAGAGGAAAACGGGTTGTGGGCAGAGCAGTAACGAGTTATCACCATGGTTTTATTGACTTGTGGCATACAGCAACAGAATTAACAGAATAAATGACTGATTTAATGGGAAATGTTTTCCTTCAGATGCATCTCGTCGTGTATTCTTTCCCCAATACTTAATCATGTCAAACTTTAGTAGCGTACACTCTTCCCCCCCTCAAATTTTTCCTCCCCCCACCCCGATTTGCCTCATTTTTTACAGCGGCAAAATCACAAGCCAGTTGCAGTTGTTAAGAGCCCTTTCTCATGCACACAAGTGAGACAAAATAACCAGTTTCCTAACTGCAGATTAATTTCCCAGCAAGCTCCCCCCCACTTTCACTTATAGTTTAGAATAATTTCCACTTTTAGGTACACGAATGGCTTTATTAATAATCTACTATGCTAACCCATACTCTGCTAACGTGGGTACATTAGTCTGTACATCAAAACCCTTAGCTTATACTTTAAAAAAAAATGATGGTGATAACACAGCTTCCTGCTGAGTCTTTTCTTCAGACACACTGTAAAAAAATTCCAGTCTCTGAAGTTCATGCTTGAACTTCCACAGGACTCTTTCTAACTGTCAGTAAACTCAGCTATACCAAAAAAATACGTATGAGTCTGTGATTAATAGCTAAAATTGAGTATTGGCTGTTACAGTTAGCATTTGCTGTTTCTACAACTTGGCAAATGTACTTAGCAAAGACGACATCCGTCGGAGTTTACCGAAGAAGCTCAAGTATGTAGCTCCGCGTATAAAGTAAGGAAATATTTATTAGCAAATAGTTTGCATCTCTGACAGAGGTGAAGTTTTCTCTGGTGGCAACCACTCCGCATTTACATTAAAAATACCCGCAGCAGGCGGCCAGCGGACACCAGGCACAGGACACCAGGCACAGGACACCAGGCACAGGACACCAGGCACAGGACACCAGGCACAGGACACCAGGCACAGCTAACCGCGTCCTGCTGAGTACGCAGGGTGAGCCCACACCCCACCCAGGCCAAGGGCCTGTTTCTCTCTCTGCCGCCGGAGGCGGATGCCCACGACGGAGCATGCCAGAAGAGGAGCATACGTGACGCTCACCGTGTCCGAACGCTCCCTAGCTGTGCTGCCTGGGGGTCACGCTTCCCGACTCGGACGCCGTTTCTACACACTAAAGCGTACGCGCTGAACGCCGCACGGCCCCCCGCTCGCCGGCAAGCTTTACACTCCCCGCGACATCCTACAGCGTGCCGTTTCACGGCTTAACGG